AAATCCAATTGCTTGTTCCATTATCCTCAATCCAGGAAGAAAGTTTTGTTTGTAAAATATCGTTCCCTTTCTCAACCAATCCCTGAGATTGAGGATGGCGTGGACGGCCATTGATAATTATTGTTCCTGGCCACATTTGTACTAAATTTCGTATAATTTTTGCCGTAAACTCTTTTCCGTTATCGGTTTGCAGAATCGCCGGAGAACCAAATTGTGTGAAAATATGATATAGAAATGCTGCTACGTTTATTGCTTCTTTACTTTTCATAGGACTAGCCCATGAATATCGACTAAAATGATCACGTGCATGAACAATATACTTGTAATCCCCGTCAGGAAGTGTTCTCATATCGATTAGATCAACCTAAAAAATATAGTTAGTCGAATACATTCGATAATTATCATGTTGATAATATATTAATATATCTTACTTGAACACGCAACAACAAGCTTTTGCTAATAATTGGTTTGGACGAAACTGGTGGCAACATTCTGCGTCGGCCAGTGCATGTAGTACAAACACTTACAAACAAACCAACGAGTTCCCGTGGAACATGACTATATTGATCTGATATCTATTCAAAAAAAATATTATTATCAGATTTAGTATGGATTGTCACGTATATCATAATAGTAACATAATGCGTAGTAAAACTAACAGCTTCAAATGTCTTCTTATATCCTGCATGTTGAAGCTCATGGTGAGTATTTCCTATAACATCATAAAGCTCTTCTTTAATGCAGACAGGTTTCTTATTTTTCGAATTAATAAGTTTTATATTGTCGCGAATTATTCTTGTTAAGAATTTTCTGCGTGCCCAATGTCGGAACTGTGCATCGAATTCAGTCGTTTCTGGATTATTTAACACGGAGATTATCATATTTGCTACTTCTTGTGTTATCAAAGATTTTTTACGACGACCATTTCCGTCAGCTGCCAAGTAATCTTCAGTTAGCTGATCAAATTTCTCCTTCGTAACAAATACAAATTCGCTGGAAGACATTGTTAATATGAATCGATATA